TAGCATTACAGGCCTACCTCAAGAAACAAGAAAAAAATCAAATAAATTACCTAACTCTACACCTAAAGCAACCAGAGAAGGAAGAAATGAAGAACCCCAGGGTTAGTAGAAGGAAAGGAATCTTAAAAATTAGGGCAGAAATAAATGCAAAAGAAACTAAAGAGACCATAGCAAAAATCAACAAAGCTGAAAGCTGGTTTTTTGAAAAAATAAACAAAATTGACAAACCATTAGCAAGACTCATTAAGAAACAAAGGGAGAAGAACCAAATTAACAAAATTAGAAACGAAATTGGAGAGATCACAACAGACAACACTGAAATACAAAGGATCATAAGAGACTACTACCAGCAGCTCTATGCCAATAAAATGGACAACTTGGAAGAAATGGACAAGTTCTTAGAGAAGTATAACTTTCCAAAACTGAACCAGGAAGAAATAGAAGATCTTAACAGACCCATCACAAGCAAAGAAATCGAAACTGTAATCAGAAATCTTCCAGCAAACAAAAGCCCAGGACCAGATGGCTTCACAGCTGAATTCTACCAAAAATTTAGAGAAGAGCTAACACCTATCTTACTCAAACTCTTCCAGAAAATTGCAGAAGAAGGTAAACTTCCAAACTCATTCTATGAGGCCACCATCACCCTAATTCCAAAACCAGACAAAGATGCCACAAAAAAAGAAAACTACAGGCCAATATCACTGATGAACATAGATGCAAAAATCCTTAACAAAATTCTAGCAAACAGAATCCAAGAACATATTAAAAAAATCATACATCATGACCAAGTGGGCTTTATCCCAGAAATGCAAGGATTCTTTAATATCTGCAAATCAATCAATGTAATACACCATATTAACAAACTGAAAGATAAAAACCATATGATTATCTCAATAGATGCAGAAAAAGCCTTTGACAAAATTCAACATCCATTTATGATTAAAACTCTCCAGAAAACAGGAATAGAAGGAACATACCTCAACATAATGAAAGCTATATATGACAAACCCACAGCAAGCATCACCCTCAATGGTGAAAAATTGAAAGCATTTCCCCTGAAATCAGGAACAAGACAAGGGTGCCCACTCTCACCACTACTATTCAACATAGTTTTGGAAGTGTTGGCCACAGCAATCAGGGCAGAAAAAGAAGTAAAAGGAATCCAGATAGGAAAAGAAGAAGTGAAACTCTCGCTGTTTGCAGATGACATGATTCTCTACATAGAAAACCCTAAAGACTCTACCAGAAAATTACTAGAGCTAATCAATGAATATAGTAAAGTTGCAGGATATAAAATTAACACACAGAAACCTCTTGCATTCCTATACACTAACAATGAGAAAACAGAAAGAGAAATTAAGGAAAGGATACCATTCACCATTGCAGCAAAAAGAATAAAATACTTAGGAGTATATCTACCTAAAGAAACAAAAGACCTATACATTGAAAACTATAAAACACTGATGAAAGAAATCAAAGAGGACACAAACAGATGGAGAAATATACCATGTTCATGGATTGGAAGAATCAATATTGTCAAAATGGCTATACTACCCAAAGCAATCTATAGATTCAATGCAATCCCTATCAAACTACCAACGGTATTTTTCACAGAACTTGAACAAATAATTTCACAATTTGTATGGAAATACAAAAAACCTCTAATAGCCAAAGTAATCTTGAGAAAGAAGAATGGAACTGGAGGAATCAACCTGCCTGACTTCAGACTATACTACAAAGCCACAGTCATCAAGACAGTATGGTACTGGCACAAAGACAGAAATATAGATCAATGGAACAGAATAGAAAGCCCAGAGATAAATCCACGAACCTGTGGTCACCTTATCTTCGATAAAGGAGGCAAGGATATACAATGGAAAAAAGACAACCTCTTTAACAAGTGGTGCTGGGAAAACTGGTCAACCACCTGTAAAAGAATGAAACTAGAACACTTTCTAACACCATACACAAAAATAAACTCAAAATGGATTAAAGATCTAAATGTAAGACCAGAAACTATAAAACTCCTAGAGGAGAACATAGGCAAAACACTCTCCGACATAAATCACAGCAGGATCCTCTACGACCCACCTCCCAGAATTTTAGAAACAAAAGCAAAAATAAACAAATGGGACCTAATGAAACTTAAAAGCTTTTGCACAACAAAGGAAACTATAAGCAAGGTGAAAAGACAGCCCTCAGATTGGGAGAAAATAATAGCAAACGAAGCAACAGACAAAGGATTAATCTCAAAAATATACGAGCAACTCCTCCAGCTCAAGTCCAGAAAAATAAATGACCCAATCAAAAAATGGGCCAAAGAACTAAACAGACATTTCTCCAAGGAAGACATACAGATGGCAAAAAAACACATGAAAAGATGCTCAACATCACTCATTATCAGAGAAATGCAAACCAAAACCACAATGAGGTACCATTACACGCCAGTCGGGATGGCTGCTATCCAAAAGTCTACAAGCAATAAATGCTGGAGAGGATGTGGAGAAAAGGGAACCCTCTTACACTGTTGGTGGGAATGCAAATTAGTACAGCCATTATGGAAAACAGTGCGGAGATTTCTTAAAAAGCTGGAAATAGAACTGCCATATGACCCAGCAATGCCACTTCTGGGCATACACACCGAGGAAACCAGATCTGAAAGAGACACGTGCACCCCAATGTTCATTACAGCACTGTTTATAATAGCCAGGACATGGAAGCAACCTAGATGCCCATCAGCAGACGAATGGATGAGGAAGCTGTGGTACATATACACCATGGAATATTACTCAGCCATTAAAAAGAATTCGTTTGAATCAGTTCTAATGAGATGGATGAAACTGGAGCCCATTATACAGAGCGAAGTAAGCCAGAAAGATAAAGACCATTACAGTATGCTAACACATATATATGGAATTTAGAAAGATGGTAATGATAACCCTATATGCAAAACAGGAAAAGAGACTCAGATGTATAGAACAGACTTGTGGACTCTGGGAGAAGGTGAGGGTGGGATGTTTCAAGAGAACAGCATCGAAACATGTATATTATCTAGGGTGAAACAGATCACCAGCCCAGGTTGGGTGCATGAGACAAGTGCTTGGGCCTGGTGCACTGGCAAGACCCAGAGGGATTGGGTGGAGAGGGAGGTGGGAGGGGGGACCGGGATGGGGAATACATGTAAATCCATGGCGAATTCATTTCAATGTATGACAAAATCAACTGCAATGTTGTAAAGTAATTAGCCTCCAACTAATAAAAATAAATGGGAAAAAAAAAATAAAAAAAAAAAATAAAAAACATGTGGTACATAAAAAAATAAATAAAAAATAAAACAAATATATCCCAAGCCATCTAACATGTAAGCAGAAAACATGAATATATCTCAACAAAAGTAAGTAACATGAAGATACTCTACATAGATAATCCTAAAGATGCTACCAGAAAACTACTAGAGCTCATCAGTGAATTTGGTAAAGCTGTAGGATACAAAAGTAATATACAGAAATTCTGGCATTCCTATACAATAACAATGAAAAATAAGAGAAATTAAGGAAATAAACCCATTTAACACCATATCAAAAAGAATAAAATACCTAGGAACAAACCTACCTAAGGAGACAAATGACCTATACTGTGATAACTATAAAACACTGATGAAAGAAACTGAAGATGCCACAGATGGAAAGATATACTATGTTTTCGGGCTGTGTGCTGTGCTCTCTCCTGTCATTTTTGGGTTGGAAAAATCAATACTGTCAAGATAACCAAACTACCATGGCAATCTACAGATTCAGTGTAATTTCTATCAACTTACCAATGGCATTTTTTTAAATAGAACTAGAACAGAAAAATTTAAAGTTTGTATGCAACCACAAAAGACCCCTCATAGCTAAAAACAACTATGAGAAAGAAAAATGGAGCTAGAGGAATCAGAATCCTTGACTTCAGACAATACTTCAAAGGTACAGTCATTAAAACAGTATGGCAATGGCACAAAAACAGACATATAGATCAATGGAACAGGATAGAAAGCTCAGAGGTAAACCTATGCATCTATTCTCAATGAATCTATGAAAAAGGCAAGAATAAGGAGAAAAACAGTCTCTTCAATAAGTGGTTCTGGGAAAACTTTACAGCTACATGTGAAAGAATAAAATTAGAACATTCTCCAACACCAGACACAAAAATAAACTCAAAATGGATCAAACACCTAAATGTAAGGCCAGACACTGTAACACTCTTAGGAGAAAACATACGTAGAACACTCGGACAAACATCACATCAATATCTTTTTGGATCCACCTCCTAGTATTATGAAAATAAAAACAAAAGTAAACAAATGAGACCTAATTAAACTAAAAGCTTCTACACAGCAAAGGAAGCCATAAACAAAATGAAAAGACAACCCAGAGAATGAGAGAAAATGTTTGAAAAGTGACCAACTAGGGATTAATCTCCAAAATATGCAAACAGTTCATGCAGCTCTATGTCAAAAAAACCCACCCAATCAAAAACTGAATGGAAGATCTAAAGACATTTTTTTCAAAGAAGACATACAGATGGCCAAAAAGCACAAGAAAAGATGCTCAATATCACTAGTTATCAGAGAAATGCAAATCAAAACTACAATGAGATATCACCTCACATCAGTCAGAGTAGCCATTATCAAAAAGTCTACAAACAATAAACATTGGAGAGGGCGTGGAGAAAAGGAAAACCTCCTATCTCTTCAAATCATAGGCTCCTCATTATTAAATTCAGGATCCTTTGATATTTTCTTAAACAGATGAAATTTGTTTTCTTCCCTTAGGGAAATGCCAGACTACAGTATATCCAGAAATTCTATTAAATTAGTTTAATTACTTCATGTTGACTTGATAAGTCACTACTCTTTAACGCAAAAACTGCCATTTGTAATTAATGACTTCACACTGCTTCAATTGATCAAATGTCTAATACACATAAAACACTGAAAGAAGTTCTATATATCTTACAGCAATTCAGTGGAGAAGTCTTGTCCCAGGGGTATGTAAATCTGAAGTACAAGAAACCTCTGGATCAGTCCAACTAAAATGAAAGGAGGAAAATATACATTTGTATGCCCAAATCATTTATATGTACATAAACAAAATAGTCACATGCCATCAATAAGCTGAAGCTGTTATCATTTCAATAATATATACAACTGCAAGAGCACTACCTTGAGTTACAATCTCACTACAAAAAAAAAAAAAAGATGAAATCAAATCAAACTCTTAACAACAAATGTTGTCTTTTAAAAGTCCCATTTGTGGGCTTGGTGAAATCTTTATGGAAATTTATAAAATATTTTTTTATTTACTGTTTTTATTAGGTTGCAAAAAAGTGTACACATTCAATAGACACATATAAAACTGAACTATATGTTTTCTCATTAAGGCAGTCATAAAAGCATGTAGCAATTATTCTTATTCACTGACAATTTTAACTGTATTTAACAACTTGATGAAAAATAATAGATCAGAAAAACAGTTCTAATTATGACAACTACAACTGAAGGTTTGATGAGCCATATCTAGTTCACATGGTTTTCAATGTGTCTATAATGAGATGGATGGATGAACATATTTTCAGTTAAACACCTTTTGTTAATTTAAAATAAATTTAATTAATTTAATGCTCACAAATTAAAAACTTATAGCTTTTATTCCCCATCACCAGCTTCATCTGAATTAAATATATCTGGAGAAAGACCTATTGCACTTTCGATAACTGAAGTCTCCAACTGTTTCAAAAATCAACTGATTTTGTATTACCTCTTTGGACCTATTCACTTAATTATTTTCCTCTTAGCTTTTGAACTTTCACTTGATATCTCAATTATGTTGCTTTTAATGAATGTTTTAGTATCACTTCCTCCTGAAACATGACTTCCAGGAATTTGTTTTTTCCCTAATGTGGAATGTTGCTTAGGAAGTAGAGATATCTTGATACAACTGTAAACCTCTCCTACAAATCTAATAGTACAAGCCAATACACGGAGAAAACACTTCAAAGAAGGTAACTGGTCTAACATGAATGCTGATTTCTATTCATTCCAACTTAGTAGACTTAACAAATTTAAGTATTTTAAAGTGACAATTTATATTTGGTTAGCCTATATATAAAAACGTTCTGTTTAGAATTCTTATGTTGAATTTTTTACAACATTCCTGAAGAACTTAAACAGTTCCTATATTTTACTTCAACTCTAGTTTCTAAGCAATAAACATATTTGACCAAATGTGCTTAATATTTTAAAAATTAAACATACAAGGATAAATTTTACTTAAAATACTAAGCTGCAAAGAGTCATCAGTAGAGGTAATAGTCTCTGATCTTAGAAAATTCTCTAGGAATCAGGTTCTACCACATTTATGGGAAAAGCCAACAAGACAACTAGAGCTCTGGACCACAAAACCAAAATGAAATACCCAAATTAGGCCAACTTAAATAAATGGCCGTTAATCAATCTCTCTCATGTATCTTCCATTGATTGGCCCAACAGTATTTTTTCCACTGCAGAAAGGCCCCATAAAGAGAGCTGAGAGAGCACCGGGATAAATGAAATCTCTCTTTACAAAAGGTCCTAATTTATGTCACAGATCTCACTGAATCAATAACTATTCTCTTTCAACACAAAGAGCTACACACATAGGGCATTTTTGTATGAATATTTTTAGATATGAAAGATGTTTGCCCTCAAAAAAAAGAAAGCATTGTAATTCAATTCTCTCACATATAGAAGCCCTAGTTTCTAAAAGGCTTCACTTCTAAGATTAAAAGAAGTACGACACTACCATAAGGTAATGATCTGACAAAGAAAAAAGTACTCTAATAACATTTGACAGACACTGATCCTATGTGTCAGAAATGCTAAATAAACTCTATAGCAACATTTTTTCTTCCAGTGGCCGAGTAAATTTAAACTGACTCTTTGGCCAAGTAAATTTAAACTGACTCTTCATGTCTACATTATATTTAAAATCACTCTAAGCAATGCTGGAACTATTGTTAGTCAGAAAATGCCCATCAAGTACATAAAATTCATAAAAGTTCACACTTTTTTACTGAAATATGCAGGTTTCTGCACTTTTATAACATGTTCTCTGCCCGAGACAAAAGCTACCTCTATTTTTAAGAGGTCAGATCCTTTCTTCTTTTGAATATTTTAAGACACATTTATTTAGTAAATAGATTTTTAAACAGTGGTTTTACAGTTGTTCCATTACAGCAAATCACAGTTGTATACCTCAACATACACTTTGCAAGTGTTACACTGTCCAAAGTGTTGGGACCAAACCACAGTACAGCAATCTTTTATAAGTAACTTGGTAACAGTAACCTGAAGGTATTTCCTGATTCTACTGGAGTCCTGACACAGACAGGACACTAAAATGCACCTTAGCTACTGTAGCACAGAAAACAGGAAAAAATTATGGCTTCATAATGGGTTACTCCACACCCCTTGAGCACATCAGAAAACCTATTTGGGCCCTTTTACTTTTCATATGTAAAACTGGGTTGATAATTTAGATTTACCCTTCACAGAATCATTTGTGTAGATCAAATGAGATCTATCACTCAATAAAGATTTACTGAGCATCTACTATGAAAAAGATTCAGTGTTAAAGCTTTTGAAGTGAATAGGACAGACATGCTCTCTGCTCTCTTGGAACTTACATACTAGGTTTCATGAAGGAGAAGGTCACATTGCTATGAAAGCTTATATAATCCTGAGTCATTGGGAGGAAGAGGATGATGAGCGAAGGTTTTCTTGTAGAAGTAACAGTGGAGTTGAGTCGGGAAGAACAGCGGAGATTGACTGGGCAAGGAAGATAGGGGCAGAAGAGAGGAAAAAATATTGTATAGAGAGGAAATACTCCGTAATGTGATAGAAGAGCCTATAGTAGTTAGACGAACTTAAAGGCCTAAAGGACTGACAGGAGAGACAGAAGGGGAAAAGCAGCAGCGGATATGTCTGGCAAATAGTCAGGGACTCAATTATGTGGGTTTTGAAAGCCTTGTGAAAGATACAGGTCATCCTAAAATCAATAGGAAGCCACTCATCCATTCATTTATTCAACAAAGATCTACTGAACGTTTACTATGTGCCAGACACTGTTCTACGTGAACAGAGTGGACTAAGTTTCTGTGTTGGTAGGCCTTAGTTTCTGGTGATGGCAGAAAAAACAAAAAAAAATATTAAATAGCAAGTTCAAGGTGATAATTACTGTAGGAAAATGGACAGCAGGGTGAAGGAGATTAAGAATGCAGAAGGGATACAAAGCACAGGTTTTAACTTAAGTCTGGGTAAGCATGGGTCCTCACTGAGAAGATGACATTTTATTTGGCAAAGGCTTGAAGAAGGGGAGAGAGTGAGCCATGTAGCTACTTGGAAAAAGAAGGCCCTAGGTAGAGGGTATGGCTTGTGCACAAGTGCTAAGGTACCAGACTGTGGCTGAAAACAGCAAGGAGACCTGTATGGATGGAGGAGAGTGAACAAGGCAAAGTAACAGGAGATAAGATCAGAGTTAAGAGAACATCAGATACAACAGCACCCTATAGATGTTTGGGTTTTATGGGTTTTACCCAGAGAGAGATGTGGCATTTTCAGCAAAGAGTGCTTGATTTAAAAGCATCAGTCTGGCTGCTAAACTGACAATGGACTGTAGGGAAGCAAGTCAGAAAGAGAGACTAATTAGAAGGCTACTGCAATAATCCACGATAATGGTGGCGTGGACCAGGGTGGCAGCAGGGAAAGTAGCAAGAGGCAGTCAGACTCTAAAACTAATTTAAAGATAGAGCCAACACGATTTTCTTGATGGTTAAATGAAAAGAAGGAAAAAAGATGATTTAAGAGTTTTTTGTCTGAGCAACTGAAAGGCAACTTGCTGACAACTGAAATGGGGCAGTCTGCAGGAGGAGGAAGAAAAATTTCTAAGGTAAAGCTATTCATGTAGAAATGTCAACTAAGCAATTGAATATACAAATCTGGAGTTTGGGACACAAGTCACTGATAAGAATGCAAGCTGGTACACAGCAGAGATGAAATTTAAAGCCATCAGACTAGAGTCTGAAACTAAAGAAGTAAATGTAGTTTAGTGTCAAGAAGGTCAAAGACTAAGTCCAGAGGCATTGCCACATTAAGTTGGGTTGGGGAGAAGAGGAAGACCCATGAAAGGAGACAGAAGAAAGACCAGTGAGTAGGAAAAAGAAAAACAAAAAATCCAGGAGTATGGGCATCCTGGAAGATGAGTGGAGAAAGTACTATATAAATCAAGTAGAGGATGTCAGTTTTTGTCAATGCTGCTGCTAAGTTGAGCAAGACAAGAGCTGAGAACTGGCCACTGGATTCAAGAATAGAAAGAGTGCTAGAAACCTTGACAAGGGCACTGTCAATAGAGTAGTAAAGTCAAAGCCACTGAAGGGTTTTAGAAAGAGGAAATCATAAGTTTATTTCAAAGAATTACAAAAAGTTAGGGCAGGGGTAGGCTGAGGGGAACCTCATAAAGATGACCTCATCCACCAGAGCAGCTGAAACTTAGATCAACACACAGCTTCAGGGATGCCGATCCCGAGAGACACACCATTTGACTAAGATGTCACAGGCAGAGAAAAGTATGATTTCAAACATGAGCCTCAAATAGAAAGTCCCCAGGGAGACGATCCAAATGATAGATATTTACATGTAATAGAGTTTCTCTTCACATGGGCATCTCTGTATAACACATTCCAGCCTCAATAGCAACATGGGCTTCTTTAACTTGCTAATGATCTAGAAGTTTCAGTATCAAGGCCAAATGCTTACCATTAGAAATTATAACCTAAATCGTTACAGCTTCTTAGTATGAGACGTTTAACAAAATTACTGAATACTAACTATATATGACACACTAAGTTAGGGGTACAAAGTAGATGATGCAAAAGTTCTGTCATGGAGAAATACACAATCTGATAATCACACCTTCCTATATTTGATCATATATAGAGTTAAAAAAAACTGACATATTCAGAGATGCTCAAATATAATTCAGAATATTACTATTTAAAATTAAAATTTAAAAATACTGAATTTCATTATTAAAATTCCTTCACAGGTACTTAATACAGTAGGAAATACATATGAAGTGTCTAATGTCAAGTTGACAAAAATAAAGTGGGTTTTTACTTTTTTTGGGGGGGGGTTTTACTCTTAAAATAGGAATACAAAATGGTAATTGAACTTAATTTAGAATCCTTAACTTAAAGTCAATTCTTTATTCAAAGCATACCATTAAATTTAAATTCAACCATAACAACTTCACATAGGTCATTTTATAAAGTAAAAATAATTATAAGTTGTTATTATCAAAAATTTCAAATAATTAATCTTAAAGGCATTAGTACAGGGCAGACTATATAAACTGCTTCATTTGTTACAGGGCTGCACATGCTACAGAAAAGTCAGATTAATTTTTAATTGCAGGACATTGCACAAGAAATACATTAAAAGATTTTTCTTTCTTCCAATTAAAACTATCATCTTTCCATTTTTAAAAAGCAATTATAACATATTAAATTTGTTTTATTTCTTAAAAAAAACATAGATAAAAGTAGGAAAGGGGAGCTTGTCTTTAATCACTGAGCCTTTGTTAAAGAGGAGAAATCTTTCTCAGGGCCAAGTGAGAAAGGTTACTAGAAGTGATTTGATTTGGTCAAAAACATCATCAAGGGCATAGATGCTGAAGGCATCACATGGATGTAGAGGCCAACAATAATAAATAAAAAAGAACTAAAATTGGTTTAGAGCAAAGTCATGTTCCTGAATATCAGATGTGTTCATTTTAAAGTCAATAGTCTTAAAAAAGACGGTCCATGTTTCCTGTTAAAAAATAATCTACATTTTCAGACATGTTTCTATGGCTTATCTCAGTTCACCTTATTTATCAGTACAAATTTACGGATAAATTAAAAAAAAAAATTTCTGCTATTAAAAAATGCAAACTATGAGGAAATCATGGTTTTAAAATGGTAATAAACTAATAACAATTATTTTAACAATGACTATCCCTTCTCTTTGAAGTTGTTTTTTATTTTATTCAGAAAGATACCATTTTAAAATAAATCATCTTCCAACTATAATTTCTATGGCTTGATTTATGTCTTAGAAATCTAAAATATGCATGTAGTAATTTGAAATAGTAGATAAAACATAGAGTCTATAAAAGTTTAGAAAACAGGATTAAAATGAGAAAATCAGATACCAAGACTAGCTCTTTTCATAGTCCATGGTACACAATAAGTATTCAATAAATGTTCTTAATGAAAGAAGAAGTAAATAATGAATGTAAAAAATTACTGATTACCTATATTGGTTAAAACACAATAGATAAATATAGGACAAAGTGAATGAAAATATGGTAAATCATTTTGATAATTTATATTTCTTAAATCATATCAGGGTATGCAGAGCCTAATATTGTGGCAGAGCATTGAATTTTAACCCCAGTTTGGCCAAAAATTGGGCTTCTGATCATCAATTTAGGTGATCACTCAGAGTTCTTTCTGCTTTAAGCCACTGTCCCTAATTCCCAGAACAGATAAGAATTGAAATCTATTTTGGGGTTTTTTGTTAAATCACATATTCATATCTTTACTTATTAGATATGAATATTTCTAAAGGTATATAAGTTGATATATTACTAAGTAAGCCTTATGTAGTACTTCACATATATTTTTCCTCAAAAATTAATTCACTATAAGAACTCATGAGTTTATTTCAAAGCATAGCCTTAACTAGCTGATCTCTTGAGGAGGAATCAACCTTAGTGTGTTCATCCATAAAAGACTTAGTGTCAGGATTAAAAGAATTTAAAAAAATGAAATGCTTGGAAAGTCATTGGCACGCAGTAAGTGCTTAATAAACATCATTACTATTCTAATGAAATTATCTTATACACATTTTGTAATTTAGAAGGTTAAATAATCTTCTAAATCTTTAAAATAGAAGTTAATTTCTAATAAACAATGAAGCAGAATCTCTTTTCAAAAGCCTCGTATAAAGTTACTCTTTAAATTAAAAATCTTATTACTATAAATCAACAGATGCCAGTAAAAGCCAAACTTACACGTCTGTTTATGAGACTTAAAAGTTTCACTTTAAGGATCAAATGTTAAGCTTCAATGTTAAAAATCTTACTTACGGATTTGCTTCTTCTCCTTTGGTAACTGTATTTTATTTGTTTGGCTGCTGCCTTCCAGTACAAACACAAAACTTTTAACTTCTTTATCAAATTCCTGCAGAACAAAATTGAATTACAGTGGTAATTGTGCATTTTATTTCACTTTTATTAAAAAATTGAAGTAGCAGGCCCATACAAAAAGCCCCACACTCAAATGACTTAAAAATAGGCCTAGGTCTTAAAGATGCTGCTAAGACTTGCCGGGAATTGGAATACAGAAGCCACACTTAGCTACTTGGCGAATTCTCTTCTATATCAAGATAGTCTTCCTCCAAATAATTTTTCCAACATCAGGGATTCCCAAGTTACTAATTTAGAGTTTCCAGAGTCCAGGTATCCTTCCCCTTCTATAATCTATGTTTCTGTCTAATAGCACAGGCTGAACATCTCTCTCTGGTAACATACAGTACAATAAACCATCTAAATTATGTTGTATCTAGTCTGGAAGTTCCTTGGTTCAAGCCATGGCTCATATAGAATTAATCAGTGCCTTATTTTCCCAGTCCTCTAACGTGAAGTTCCATACATCATTTACTTACAATCAGAACATACTAAAGTTTTACAGCTAAGGAAGGTCATCTAAAAAACAAACAGAAACAAAACACACCTGGAAATGAAAAACTTATTATACACGAGAATCCAATTTCTATCAAAGTATTAATGCAAATGGTTATTATTATTTTTTAATCTTGAAGGAATTTCCAATCTTTAAAAACAAAGACTCCTTTTTCACAAAGAAACCTTTCATAGATCCTCTTCCTTTTGGTACATGTTTTAAAAATACATTGTAACCAATGGTTGCTAAGGATTAAGTAACATTTAAATAAATTTGTATTATATTTATCACAATAACATCTCTCATGTATTTGCAATGAACATAGAGTGTATTATTTATTTCATCTGCACACATGTTGGGCATACACTAAAACCTTTCAACAGCTTATCAAAATCTTGAACATGATCATAAACCCTTGTGTAGTCCAACCCCTGCCCAGTTTTTCTAACTTCATCTCTTGCCTTAGACTCTCCTCTACTTTGCATCCTAGCCTCTAGCCTTCCAACAGTTTCTTAAAAATTCTAAGTTCTTTCCAAAGCAAGGACTTTATACCTGCTTTTCTCATTGCCTGAAATGTTTATCTCTCTACCAGCTCCATCTGGTGCCTAGTTAGCTAGAGATCAAATATTATTTCCTCAGGGAAGCCTTTCCTAACCTTTCTGCTCTATACCCTCACAGCACCAATTTACTTTCTTTCATAGTAAAAGCTATAAAATTTTGAGCAAGTCACTTAACCATATCATGCCTATAAGATAAGCGTTAAGTGTACTTTATGAGACACAAGGTTATTCTATGGACTATATAACATGTAATGTGCTCAATCCTATGATTGGCAAACAGTAAGCACTCAATTAGTAGTAGTTTAAAAAACTATCCATAGAATAAAGTCTCTAGAAAGATATTTTTCTCTCAACTGTACAAGAGAGAAGAGAAAGAGAAAAAGACAGGGAAGGAAAGGGATTTTTAGGTCTGGTGGCCAAGAGGTTGAGGTAGTTCCTACCAGATGTTATTGGTTTTCCCTATGAAATGTGGGGTGAAGTCTTCTGGTAAATGAGTGAGGAGGGCCTGTCTTGGGTGTGGGTTGGGGGCGGGGGTAAGGAGTTTATGGCTGGAAACCTGAAAGATACTAGAGAAAGAATCATTTTAGAGACCAGGAGACAAGATTAGGTTCTTGGGCTGTTCATACTTAATTCACAGCATTATCAACCTGAAAGACTAATAGGTATTTTCTCCAAAGGTATTGTGAAGCCCACATGCAGACACAGGAAAGCGATGTGATCAGGAATTCAGAAACGGTTGGCATTTGCTAGGCAGGCATGATGAAAGGAGGAGGAACAGGGCAGTCAAGGTCTTGACTGGGAAGTGACTGAAATTTTGGACCATGGATTCTGGGCTGGAGAGAAAAAGAAAGTGAAGACAGACTGACTGAGTAAGTAGGTAAGAAAGTATATCAATCTAAACACTGAGAAAAATGTAGAATGGTCAATGGCCTAATAGTGACAATTAGGTTGAAGAGCAAATAGAGTGGGAGTCACCAGGCAAGCAACATTAAGAATCGAAGAGTAGACTCAAGGTCTCAGTAATTTCAGAGGCCATGCAGTTTTCGGTAGTAAGTTACAAAGTGTGACAGAGGGAAACAGTGCTGAAGTAGAGTGGAGAAGGTCATTAGAGATGAAGAAATCGAGAAAATGAGAAGCCCAGGGTTTGAGATTTTCCTCACAGATACTGAAGTTGCCTAAAACAATGTCAGGACTTGACACCTAGAGAAGGGTTATGAGCTGTGTGCCAAAGTCTTCAATGAGGAGGGGTATCTCAAAGGGTTGAAGCCAGTAGTCATGAAAGGGTTTTGAAATGAATGAATAGGTAAACCAGTTCTGAAACCTTACCAAGCCCTTTTTGTTATAATCTTTAGTCTCATTTCTTTTCCCAATTTAGCAGGCTTTAATTTTTAAAACTTACTTTCCAAATCACAGATGGACTGCCGAGGATCTTCCATTTTGCTCCAGGATTTTTACCCTGGGCACTAAAGATTTCAACAAATGCACCTCCCTAGGGTGAAAAAAATTTTTTTAAATTACAGTGAAAAACAATGCTAAGAAGGAGGAAATATTATCTACCACATAGTCTATAACCACTGTTCTGGGAATCTGTCAGTAAAGTAGATCTGGGAGGAAACATTATCCTTGTTATTATTCCTTTACATCTTGGGTGTATCTAAGCAACAACTGTTCTGATTCAAGTCACCTCAAGTTAATAGTTAAAGAAATTTTTTTTGAAAGCAAACATTAAATAAATTTCAAGTGTAAGATTCATTTACTTCACGTATATAGTTCATGTTCACAAAATATTTTATTCAACACACACTAAAGGGTCAAAACTCAACTCTCAGGCAAGGCTAATCAAATTGGATAATTAACTCTCGCTACAAGCTTTTTAGTTACACTAACCTGAGTTCCAATACCAGTTCTTCCATTTATTAACTGACCTTCGAGTTACTTAACCTCTTGATTCTCCTGTAAAATGGGTTATCAGATTACATAGGACAGTAAAGATAAACTATCACATTCAGTATCTTGCACGAGCTCATTAGTACCAACAATGATTATTCAAAAAAAGGGCAAACTGAAGAGTACTGGGTCAATTAAAAAAAGCTTGAACTTGGAGAGCGAGTGATTCTTATTTTAAGAATTCCTATACGATTTTTTTATATATTTAACACCATTTGGTGATCTACAAAATACGTACAAAAAAAGCATGTTCTATAGACATGCTAAATGTTCTCTAGTGTAATCCTGAGAACATGGAGGGACATGCTCACATAAACTCACGAAACACATTACTAAATGTCCATAAGCTTTAATTATAAAAGAGAGGCATTATAAATGATTGTCTCCAAGGAAGAGTTTACTGAAAAACTGAAAACCTGAGAGTAAATATTTCTTTTATGGCCTATTAATTTATAAGCAGTGCATAAGCAACTGTCTGATTTTCATAAAGTGTTCAGCTTTTAATTTTTCTCAATAATACAAAGATATTTTTGCTTCTGTGTTTTAACTTGAAGCTGAGACATTTAATGTCTTCTTGAGGCAGTGTTATGTGCAAACTGAGGAAAAGAATTACTATAGCTTCTGAAGTCAGGGCATATTTCACTATGAATTTTAAATTTGAGGAAGTTATTTTTTTTTTAAGAGAAAAATCCATACACCTGAACAGACAGAAAAATATACCTCCCCCAAGCCCATTCCTTTCTGCTTTCGCCTGTTTCCCACAGTGGACACAGGTTTTTATATTACAATATATACTTTACCTATATTAAGTGAAAGAAACTCTCTAAAATTGTTCTAACACATTTAATGGCATCAAACGTAATAGAAGAAAGAGAACTGCGGAACACTCTGAGAAGACTGGTAAGAAGGCAGGTAGTATATGGTGAAAAGCAAACAAGGAAGCGTGGGGACTTCCTTGATGGTCCAGGAGTCTCTGCTTCCAACGCAGGGGGCACCATTCCCTCAGGTTGGGAAACTAAGCTGTCCCGCGGCAACTACTGAGCCTGCACACTATGGACATTCAGTAATGTGTTTCGTGATTTTATGTGAGCATGTCCCTCCATGCTCTCAGGTTCACAGTAGAGAACATTTAGCATGTCTATATAAATAATTCTTTTTTGTACATACAGATCCCCAAATTGTATTAAATATATAAAAAATCGTACAGGAATTCTCAAAATAAGAATCACTCCCTCACCAAGTTCAAGTTTTTTTAATTGACCCAGTACTATCCAATTTGCCCTTTTTTTGGGAATAATCATTACTGGTACTAATGAGCTCTGTGCTCACCCAGCGCAGCCAAAACATAAAAGCAACAAAGAGGTGACCAGCAGAGGACTGTTCCAGCACAGGGACAAATTTGTTCCCAACAGCAGTACTCAGATGGCAGACACATGGAGGTACGAGGTACGGGGTACGGGGAGGAGGGCAGGAGACTGGAGCCAAGGAAGAGCAGGGAGATGCCCAGTGAGGTGAGGAAAGCTGGCGAGCTTTGGAAACTATCCAGGGTAGGCAAGGTGACTGAAGAGGAGTCAGAAGCACTTTCCCTCACTGTGTACTCTGGACCACCTGCATCTGAATCAACTGCGGAAAGGTTCTATGAAGATAAATTAACTGTTCCATCGACAGAGATTCTGATTCACTCTATTTGAGGGTGAGGATCAAGAAATTCGTTATTTTTACACGTACTCCAAATAATCTTAATGTACCGCATGTTTGAGAATCACTAACCCCCAGTTTGGGGGTGGGGGGAGAAAACGGCACACGGCCAAAGTGCTTATGCTCTTTCTGGGCTTAACCCATTCATGCATTCACTTATTTACTCTCTTCTAAATAGCGTCCGAGTTACCAGAGTGCCTCAAAATTGGTAAAACTCAAGGTTGATGGGTCCTGTCCTCAAGTTTCTGGTCCAGGAGGTTTGGTTAAGGGTTTAAGACTGCATTTCAGTCACAAACACAAGCATCCCTACACCTTGAGAAGCAAGGAACGGTTGAGTGAACAAAAATCAAATCGTATCCCCACACGTCAGTTGCCTTTTTTTTTTTTTTTTTGGTGGAGGAGGAGGGTCAAGAGCACTTACCCAGTAATTCCTTCTTACCCCATAAAAAGACGGTATTATTTGGGGATGTGGGGTAGGGAGTGGGGTGGCTGAGAGTTGTCAACAGAACGTGAGCTACCTCACCCGAGAGAAACTAGACAGGATGGACAGCCGTTTCGGGTTACCTGGTACTCATTTTTGAACATTCCCGCAGGGGGCCCAGGGCTTGAGGGGCACGGAGTTCAGGGCTTCCAGAAAAATAGCTTGACACAGACGGCTGGAAGTCGGCGCGAGGGCGGGAAGCCCGGGGCCCGACGGCCAAGGAAGAGCTTCGTGCTCCGTAGCGACTCCCAGGGTCTTCTCAGCCCTTAGTCAGCTCCACCTCAGACCCGCGACCCGAACCATCGCGGCGCAGCCTCCAGGGAGCCCGAGTCTGTGACGGCACTGCTGCCTGGGGTAGCTCCCGGCGGCAGTCCGGACGAAGTGTGTGCGTAACCTACGTGATGGGACGCACAGACGCCACGCCTCGGACAACCGCCCGCCCGCTAGCCCGGGAAAGGCGGGCGCGTTCCCGCCGCCGTCCCGCCCCCGAATCCTCTCGGAAAAGGGCGGGGCCGAGAAGGACGGACCTTCTGACCGCGCCCATTGGTTCCCAGTAGGCGCCAGTGCGTGGCGCTGTCTGAGCGTCACGCCGAGGGACACGTGACTACGCGATGACGTAGGCGTTGCCCAGGCAACCGAGGGTCTCCAGCGGAGAGGGTGGAAAGTCCAACCTGACACCCTCACTCTGGCCAGGTAGTGACTTATGTCTGCAAAGATAAGTGAAAACTTAACCTGGCTTAACAACTACCACAAATGCTGGACTTTTCTAGAAAACATAAATCACGTTGACTTGGTCTCTCCTCCTTGTGAACACTGACTAGTGATAGGTTGCTGAGGTAAAGAGTCATGGAATCATGGAACCAGGTTTCTAAACGTGGCTTCAGTCAATGCTAGGGTCGCCAAACCCTTTCATTGCTTCAAAAGGTCCAAGGAGGTAAGAGTATTTACTCAAGGTCACTGCTTGTCTTCAAAAAGCCAAGGTTTTTTTGCTCCAAATAATAAAGGCATGAGGCGGGCGCTGGCTTATGTTTGGTTCTGTGTTTTAAACACTCTTAAAGTGTAAGCTTTAAAACAATGTACCTTCTCACTCTCTGCTTTTTTAAATAGCTTGTTCATTTATTTGGCTGTGGCAGGTCTTAGTAGCAGCACTGGGGATCCTCTTTGCCCTGCTCATGCTCCAGTAGTTGTGACCAGAAGGCTCCTACTTGCAGTGCTTGGGTTTAGTTGCTCAAGGCCTGTGGGATCTTAGCTTCCCAGGTGACCAAGTGGTAAAGAATATGTCTGCCAATGCAGTAAATGGAAGAGACATAGGTTTGATTCCTGGGTTGGGAAGATCCCCTGGAGTAGGAAACAGCAACCTACTCCAGTAGTCTTGCCTGGAAAATTCCATGGCCAGACGAGCCTGGCAGGCTACATGGGGGTCACAAAAGATTTGGACACTATTTAGCACACAGCATTGCCTGGAAAATCCCATGGATGGAGGAGCCTGGTAGGCTGCAGTCCATGGGGTGGCAAAGAGTCAGCCATTACTGAGCAACTTCACTTTCACTTTTCACTTTCATGCATTGGAGAAGGAAGTGGCAACCCACTCCAGTGTTCTTGCCTGGAGAATCCCAGGGACAGGGGAGCCTGGTGGACTGCCATCTATGGGGTCGCACAGAGTTGGACACAACTGAAGCGACTTAGCAGCAGAGCACACAGCATACACATGGGGTCTTAGTTTCCCCAGGAGAAATTGAGTCTCTGACCCCTGCATTGCAAGGTGGCTTCTTAACCACTGAATCACCAGGAAAGTCACCAATGTCAGTATTAATGTCAGCTCAGTTCAGTTAACTCTCTCACTCCTGTCCAACTGTTTGGGACCCCATGGACTGCAGCATGCCAGGCCTCCCTGTCCATCACCAGTTCCCAGAGTTTACTCAAACTCCTGTCCATCCAGTAGGTGATGCCATCCAACCATCTCATCCTCTGTCTTCCTCTTCTCCTCCTGCTCAACATCAGGGTTTTTTCCCATGAGTCAGTTCTTCACATCAGATTTCCAAAGTATTGGCGTTTAAGCTTTAGCATCAGTCCTTCCAGTGGATATTCAGGACTGACTTCCTTTAGGATGGACTGGTTGGATCTCTTTGCAGTCCAAGGGACTCTCAAGAGTCTTCTCCAACACTGCAGTTAAAAAGCATCAATTCTTTGGAGCTCAGCTTTCTTTATAGTCCAACTCTCACATCCATACATAACTACTGGAAAAACCATAGCTTTGACTAGACAGGCCTTTGTTGGCAAAGTAATGTCTCTGCTTTTTAATATGCTATCTAGGTTGGTCATGGCTTTTATTACAAAGAGCAAGAGTCTTTTAATTTCATGGCTGCAGTCACCATCTGCAGTGATTTTGGAGCTCCCCAAAATAAAGTCTCTCACTGTTTTCACTATTCCCCATCTATTTGCCGTGGAGTAATGGCACCATATGCCATGATCTTAGTTCTCTGAATGTTGAGTTTTAAACCAACTTTTTCACCTTCTCTTTCACTTTCATCAAGAGGTTCTTTAGTTCTTCATTTTCTGCCATAAGAGTGGTGTCATCTGCATATCTGAGGTTATTGATATTTCTCCCAGCAATCTTGATTGCAGCTTGTGCTTCCTCCAGCCCAGTGTTTCTCATGATGTACTCTGCATATAACTTACATAAGCTAGGTGACAATATGCAGCCTTGACCTACTCCTTTCCCGATTTGGAACCAGTCTGTTGCTCCCTGTCCAGCTCTAACTGTTGCCTCCTGACCTGCATACAGGTTTCTCAAGGGCAGGGCAGGTGGTCAGGTATTCCCATCTCTTAAAGAATTTGCCAGAGTTTGTTGTGGTCCACACAGTCAAAGGCTTTGGCATAGTCAATAAAGCAGAAATAGATGTTTTTCTGGAACTGTCTTGCTTTTTCAATGATCCGATGGATGCTGCCAATTTGATCTCTGGTTCATCTGTCTTTTCTAAAACCAGCTTGAAAATCTGAGAGTTCATGGTTCACGTATTGCTGAAGCCTGGCTTGGAGAATTTTGAGCATTACTTTACAAGCGTGTGAGATGAGTGCAATTGTGCGGTAGTTTGAGCATTCTTTGGCATTGCCTTTCTTAGGGATTGGAATGAAAACTGACCTTTTCCAGTCCTGTGGCCACTGCTGAGTTTTCCAAATTTGCTGGCACATTGAATACAGCACTTTCACAGCGTCATCTTTAGGATTTGAAATAGCTCAACTGGAATTCCATCACCTCCACTAGCTTTGTTCATAGTGATGCTTCCTAAGGCCCACTTGACTTCACATTCCAGGATGTCTGGCTGTAGGTGAGTGATCACACCACTGTGATCATCTGGGTCATGAAGATCTTTTTTGTACAGTTCTTCTGTGTATTCGTGCCACCTCTTCTTAATATCTTCTGCTTCTGTTAGGTCTGTATCATTTCTGTCCTTTATGGTGCCCATCTTTGCATGAAATGTTCCCTTGGTATGTCTAATTTTCTTTAAGAGATCTTTAGTCTTTCTCATTCTATTCTTTTCCTCTATTTCTTTGCATTGATCGCTAAGGAATGCTTTCTTATCTCTCCTTACTATTCTTTGAAATTCTGCATTCAGATGGGTATATCTTTCCTTTTCTCCTTTGCCTTTCACTTCTTTTGTATTCACAGCTATGTGTAAGGCCTCCTCAGAGGACCATTTTGCCTTTTTGCATTTCTTTTCCTTGGGGATGGTCTTGATCCCTGCCTCCTGTAAATGTTACAAACCTCCGTTCATAGTTCTTCAGGCACTCTTATCAGATCTAATCCGTTGAGTCTATTTCTCACTTCCACTGTATAACCGTAAGGGATTTGATTTAGGTTATACCTGAATGGTCTAGTGGTTTTCCCTACTTTCTTCAATTTAAGTCTGAATTTGGTTTCTTTGGTTAAGTCCTACCAATCCTACAGAGTTTACATCAAGGGTCTCTTTCTAAGGTACTCCTCTGATGTCCCTGAATTGATCAGATCCCCCTATTTACATGTTTTCATAGCATCTTAGCTCTTAGCATTATTGAAATCTTTGTTGAAATTTTATATGTGTTTGTAATATTGGCCATATCTAGTGGACTGTAGATTTCAAGAGACCAGGTACCATGTCTTTTCATTTGCTTGTTTTTTGCTTTTTTACCCTTGAATCCATCTCTAATGCTTGGTATACTACTCCAACTATGTACTTGGTATAACAAAATAGTAATTGTATGAATGACTGAATGAAAGTGGGAGGAAATGAAAAGCAAATATACTCTTAAAAGACATCCATGGTTTTCGTGTTGAGAGAACATGAAGAAAGCAATTGAGAACATATTTAGTTAATAACATAATTAAAAATCTTAATTAGATTTGCTTTGCGCTCGGTCGTGTCCAACTCTTTTGCGTAGCCCACCAGGGACTGTAGTCCTCCAGGCTCCTCTGTCCGTGGAATTTTTAAGACGAGAGTACTGGCGTGGGCTTGAATTTGCTACTCCAGGGCGTTTTCCCCACTCAGGGATTGAATCTGCTTCTCTTGCATCTCCCTGCTTCTCGTGCATTAGCAGGCAGATTCTTTAGCACTAGCGCCACCTGGGAAGCCCAAGCTCAGTGTATTGGTAGAGAAACTAGATACAGAATTTAAGAGATTAACCACAGTGTATCAATGTCTTGTTACTCAGATATTTTTAAGATCACCTATTTATTCAATTTAATGCTGGAAAATAACAGTAAAATTTACTTCAACCTCCTTATTTTCTCAAGACAAAGGATTGTCCAAGGCCCAGCTGTCCAGGGTTTGGATCATCTCCTAACCCTCCTAAGTCATAACAAGTTGAGGAGACTTATAGTTGGATTTTTGTTATCAAGTGTGTTGTAGGGCCTGTCCAGGCACTGGGCTACTCAGAAGGCAACCCAACGTAGATCAAAATTGTTTTCTCTATGGTGAGAACTAACCTTAATACTGACATTGGTGGCTATAAAGCAAATATAAGCATGTGCCCTACTTTAACAATATGAACTCAAAACCACAGATAGGAAGGGATTTAACTTTATAATATCAAATGCTTTTTGTTTGATTTGGATGAATGCAAGCTG